TGATAATCATGATAGTGATGATAGTGATGATGCAGTAGGGTTATTCCATGTTATTCCTATGAATAATGAATGAAAATTCTCGTTGTCATCATCATACAAACTTGGACAAAGCAGCATCATTGATCAATGTCAATCCAAATATCTGAGATTTCATCCTGAAGTTCCGCCAATTTAACCGCCAATTTAGGGGCCGTTTCGCCACCAACTAACTTCATTGATCCAGTCCTCTGATTTTGAGGGGCCCAGTAGGGTCAATCCAGACCTGGAGTTAGGGACAAAGTTCATCAACCATCCCTACCAGAAATCGGTGATGTTGCTTCAAACATCCTCAATTTCTCAGGTGTATGGCAGCCAGCGCTTACCACATTGTAAAATAATGTTACAATCTATACACCATGCAATTTTCAGCTGTGACATGATCAAAATCTTGTAGGAGTATATTTCGGGTATGGTCATCCATCCCACAATTGCGATTCTTATAATGCGTGTGTAAATCGCTATGAATGGATTGATGACTATCCCCAGTATGGTTAACGTATATATATATATATATCAAGTATATTATATTCTATTATTAATATTCTATTATATTATGTTATATTATATTATGTTATATTACATTATATTACATTATATTATATTATATTATATTATATCATATTATATTATTATATATTATATCATATTATAATATATTATATTACATTATATTATATTACATTATATTACATTATATTATATTATGTTATATTATATTATGTTATATTACATTATATTACATTATATTACATTATATTATATTATATTATATTACATTATATTACATTATATGACATTATATGATATGATATTATATGATATTATATTATATTATATCATATTATATTATATAATTATTCTATGTTTGACCCTGGCACAGATGCCCAAAAGCACAGTCCAGCTGCTAGAAAATTCAGCCAAGGGACCCTGAACACGCACCGACGCTGGTCGCTCCACCAAAGCGCGATAACCTGGGGGACGTTCCAGAAATGGGGGTTCCATAGTCATGGGGTACCCACTAGCTGGCTGGTTAGGGAAAATCCTACTAAAATGAATGATTGGGGGTAGCCCTATTTTAGGAAACCCCCATATTGGTGTGTCTCATTTTGTTTGAAACCAGAACATCCTATGGTTTAAAAGCCTCGTTTTCCACCTCACTTGCCTTTTCGTGGTATCACCCATGTTCAGACAAATCTTGGGCACGATAGGTGCACCTCCTGCCATTCCAACAGATGAACCAACACAATTTGGGGAACAGATGGATCCATATTTCACCTGTATTTCACAGTAAGTCTTTAGGGATAATTCCCAGATTCTCCAACCCAAAACTGCGGATGGGATGGCCTGGAATGCTGGGATCCTTTTCCCAAAAGACAGAGGTGACGTTGCTGGCCGGGACCCGCAGGCGCGGGTTGAAAATGGCCTCGATGTTTCAATGGAGTTCACCAAAAATGCTGATGCATAGCATGGGTCAAAAAAGCATTGTTGAAATGGGTATGAGTCAAAACCTTGGTACCCTAGTGAACCCCAAATAACTGGTAAATGGATGTTCATCCTCCCAAATATAGCAAGATTGGTTTTGATACATCCCCAAATAAAAGAAAATCGGCGCACTATTTTGAATGGACCATGACACATAAACATCCCGCACCTTGCAGCCAAATGCACGCTCACGGCCCTGCAACGCCTCCCAGCCGCAAATGACCCATGAAAATTGTGGATATATGCCCGTTGAAATCAAAGAAGTTTACATTTGTAGATTATGCTAAATTGTATTCCAAAGTTAATCAAGCATGGGCGAAGAACAAAGGCAGGCGGTCTATTGCTGGTTGCAAAGGGGCCATGTTGACATAGGATCAAGAAAATGAAGCCATATTGGGATTCATTTCCCCTTGTCAACAATGATTATTCCCAATGGAGATCGTATCAAACCCCAGAAACTTAGCAACTGCCGCTTTATCAATCGCGAGCTGGTACTTTATCAAAACAGGGTCCACCAAACATGCAGCGCTGACTCTTGAAAAATGACCAGCCCAAATACCACTACACAAGAGAATTGGGTGTCAAGGACCCTCACATCTTCATTTTCCATCTATAGCCCATTCTGGGTAAATGTCCAATGGCCATCAATGGCCTATATCGTGCCATGCATTTGCATCAGGGAGCTATGGGGCCACTGCTCCAAATTGGTGGATTGACCAATGATCTGGTACCAAGCGCAACAGGAATTCCAGGCACATGGGTTTGTTTCAAACTACCGCGCCCCACAAATCCACTGCTTTATCATCCTTTGTTCCTCTTTAAAATAGCCTTTATTTGGAGATACAGGAAATCCCCCATGTTTGGACACACCCATGTGTGTTGTCCTATCAAGGTTGATGGCTCTGTTCCAGCTAGGCGGCTCGCTCTTCCTCGCTCAAACACTCCACGGCCACTGGAGGGTCCTGAACTGCACTCCATGTTGGAATGTGGTGTGTAAACATGGCAACTCCACCCACTTGCACAACCTTACACATGAGATAAACCAGAGCATCAAAAGGGATGACACAAACACACACACACACAATGTCAATATGGATCTGTTTACGTAGCAGAAATTAGCAAATGAAGTGAAGTGCCTACAAAAAATGTATCACCTGTATGCACCCGGCATTATTACCTCTCACCAGTTGGCTTTGAAAATAGGCTCCCCCTAACATCCAATGGCTGGATACCTATATTTTCCCGAAACTGCCACGAGTTTGGGGGCAAATCCTCCCTGGACGACACCATATCCAACGTTCCTAAGCTGAATCACATGACATCTCCATGTTTGATCAAATCCCCATGAAGCTGATGAAAATCCCCGCTTGCTAATGACCAACCCCCAAAGTCCTCAAATATCATGTGCTGGGTTTATTGTAAAATTCCTTGGCAACTTTGGCAACTTTGGCAACTTGGGTCATTAACAAATATCTGTTTAAGCTATCCCAAATTAATCTTGTTCCTATTCCCCAAGATTATCATGTGCTTGGTTTTAAATTCTCTCATACATTCTCATACTATATTATATCCCTAGATCTTTGCTGCTCACATTTTACCGTCTGGTAAACTAACGTAGCTATAGAAAATCACCATTATTAATGGGTAAATCCACTATAAATTGCCATTTTCAATAGCTATGTCAGCCATTACCAGAGGGTACAACTTCCCAAAAAGAAACGGAAAATCCATGCCATGTCCTCGAAGGCGATCAAGCGGCTGGGGGTTCCCAAGTGCGGCGCCGTCAGGAAACCGCCCTTGAAGTCGCGGCCTCGCAGGTGCCCAGATGTGCCCAGGGGATTTCACCAACGAAAATCCATGGGAAGGTGGGGAAAAAAACCATCAGAGAAGCCTACCATTTGGTGACTTGGGGATGCTAAAAATGATGCTTTATGAATCTTTATGATGGTTTAGGGTTTACCACATCCGAAAAGGTGATCTGGAACGGAAAGTTGGAGAGTCAGAAAAAAGTCTGGACTTCGTGACATAGGCTGGAATTTGCCAGATGAAAGGCTTGTAACTCTGCTGGCAGATCTGTGATCTGTGCACAGCCCTTTGATGCATCAGTTTCCAAAACAGATCCATGGTATGCCAGCTGAATGAATTTCCTAGGTCGCAACTCTCTTATCATTTGTGTGCGTGTGTCCTAAACTCGGGTATAGCCCCAAAAATAAATCAATGGCCATTCCAGGATCCTAAATTGGAGGTACCAACCATATATAAGGCCTATTTTTCAGGCCTATGTAAGGGAATATCCCCACAAAATATGGCCTTTATGGCCTTATATGGTACTAACGTACCTCCATTTTAGGATCCTGGAATTCCCATTGAATAAAATGACAAATCAATGGATTCAGGGGTACCATTTTTCAGAACCCGATCGCTCCACCTGGAAGTTTGGGCCCTCGCATGACCGAGACCTCAGTGCGTTTTCAAGGAAAATCAACGATAGACCGCCGGATGTGGCATGTGGTTCCAAAGATAACTGAATGTCAACCCATCTTCATTATCTCAAGTATACTGCAACTGGAATTACATGATACATATATATATATATATCCACAGTATCAGCCTCAGGATATGTACAATGTATCAGTATACGTGTATATTATATATATAATGTGTGGGTCACTCTCATCGTCATTTCCCTTTTTTGTTGCCAGTGCCTTTGAGGCCTTGGCACCCCCTTGGCACCCCCTTGGCACCCCCTTGGCACCCCCTTGGCACCCCCTTGGCACCCCCTTGGCACCCAGCCCTTCTCCCGCTGCGGCCCGGGCCAACTCTTCCGCCACGTTTTGGGATTTCTCCTTGGAGATTCTCTCCGGCTTCACCTGGGACGTAGGGATCAGGCTGAGATATCCCTGGGAAGTCATGAACATCCATCCTAGCCACCCATTGGGCAACCATTAGAGACCAGAAAATCTCCAGTCATATGCTTGGAAAACACAACTGTGAACGAAACCACTAACCAGATATTCAATACCCTGAATCTTTGGGCCCAATGAATAGATCCAGTACTAAACCAAGGTTTCGTTCGTGGGGATTCCTTTTATGTGATTGGGGGAAGGGAGCACAAACTCTAATACATTTGCAGGGGAAATCACTACTAAGAATGGGGATTGGAATAACATCTTTTGAGCTACGCATAGATGTGTGACAAAATAAGCAACTGATGACTCTTGGTCAGTGACGGGGGCTGTAATGGCACTTGACGATCTCAACTACGGGTGGCCGAGGGTCGCGGTGCAGATTGAATAGATGGGTGTGTCCAAAAAACCCAAGAGTATACCAATTGCAGGGTAAAACGATGATGTCTTATCACTAGATTTAGATGATGTCTTATCACTAGATTTAGGAGTAGCCTATTTTTGGACAATGCCACCCACCTCGTCTTTCAGGACTAACCTTTTTTTTGTTTCCCATGGCAACATCACCACTATCCATTCTCTTTTGACTTGGATCCAATGGATTGGTTTTAGGGGAAAAAATACTCCAGCACCTGCAGGATGGTGCCCCCCAGTTATAAGTTGGTTTATAAACCCCAGTAACTATAGTTATATCTACCATAAACCATAGTTATGGGAGTTATAAACCAACTTAGCTAACTATGGGGACTATGGGGCACCACCTTGTGGGAAAATGTGTCTTTTCTTCCAACAATCATAGGGGCTTCCTCTAAATACGATCTTCATCCATTTGAGAATGGCGAACAAAAAACTCAAGACATAGGGGGCCACAGAATTTTGCCGGATGTTTGGAATTTTCCCAACCACCCTGCTGTAAACCAACATAGATGTGGAAAATCACCATGCCCTGGGGTAACCATGCCATTTTGGTCCAATTTTGAGCCCCCAACCAGCTTCGCTTTCCGCCTCAGAACTGCCTGGGAACTCGGATGGCTGGAGGTGCTTATGCGGATGCCAAAATGGTAAACGTCGTTGAAATATCTGGGGACAAAATGAAAAAAATGCATACACATCTACATATACGAAAGTACAAGGACATATATATATATGTGGATATATACAGTTATTTTATGGATACATACAGTTATATACAGTTATATATATATATATGGATGATTTATTTATATGTTCTATCCCTCCCGGACAACACGACTCCTACTCGCCCCAGCCTTGCCAAGAGGCAAGACTTTTCGATAGGCAGTGGCACTCCCTGGCCTCGGTGATGAAAAACGCCAAAGAATGGTCGAAACTTAGGAAAACCATAGGAAACCCATAGGAAAACCATAGGAAAACCATAGGAAAATGATGGTCTAAATTAGGCTAGAAAAACTTACTTGCAGTTGAAATCAGGTGTGGTCACAACTGAATAATTTTCATGGTTAAGGCGCGTAATTCTCAGGGAAAAAGTATACAAGACTGAGCAGTACACCGAAAGGACATGAGGATTTTGCCAAGAAAGCTGAGGGCATGTGCGAAAATTCACACATATTCACACCCGATCTACCCAGTTTATGATGGTCATTTGACTTTGAAGAATTTGATGACCTGTACCCATAGCAACAGGACGAACAAGGCCATCCATCACTCGGTTTCCCTGCAAGGAGCGGATTGCGTTGGAATAGATCTTCTCCGGGGGTTCCCATGACCTGGAAAAACAACACTGGCGGAATTTGAGGAGTGCTCATTTCACTATTTCAGCTGAGGGAATGTGGGAAAGCTGTGGACCACAAAAATTGGAAAAAGGAAAGGTAGAACATTTGTGGACGGGTCATGTTTCTAGCCAAAATGTGGTAATTCAGCAACAAAAACCAAAGGTGCATTGACTGACATGGGGCGATCCAAGAACCCAACGCGCGGATAAAATTGTAATTTTTGCCAACAAGAAGTGAGGTGTCAAGGATGGGAATTCAGCACGTCAAATCCACCATGAACTCCCCTAAATTGGTCTCAACTAAACTTACTTGGGAATTGCCGTGATCCCACAACCATTGCGCCAACAGAGTATTCTTGAAGTCTCCCAGGAAGTCTTATCCTTCAGATGGCCCGTGACATGACCTGAATGATGTCTTGGATTGATTAAATCCTTAAATTACAGAAAAGGCACATGTTTTCCATCAAAATACAATGGCATTTCCTGTAAATTGTCCCTTGATCCAACTCTGGCATGTTCAGGTGCTGGTCCTTTGCTTAGAAGGGATTGTCCAGGGGCAACATGCATAGTAAACGAAGAATAACACGTATTGACATGCTCATGCACAAATAGAAAAGGAGAAGAGGTAAGGCAGAAAATTGCTGCACCCAAATATGTATATACAAATATATATATATGTGTGTGTATAACTGCAGACGCTTATATCAAAGGTATAAATTGTTGCCAAGTTCCACATAAATCTCATAGACACGTTTTGAATATGATATAATATAATATAATATATTATAATATAATATAATATATAATATATAATATATAATATATATAATATATATATAATATAATTTTATAAATATATAATATATATAATATATAATATATATATATAATATATAATATATAATATATCCTTCCATTTATATATATATAATATATCCTCCAAGGATCGGATACCATGCACCGTGCCACAGTGCCCTGGGCCCCACACGCATCGCTACTTTCCTGTATTTCGCTCACATCAAACAGGTGCCCAAAAAGATGAGTAGAAGCCCTACCTCGAGGATCATCCCACCTTTTCGTTCAAGTTCTTAGTATTTTCTCTAGGGGGTTCATTGTTAGCGACTTAGTGCTCAGTAGTACTGTACATTGAAATATGGTTTTTTCATACTTCGTAGAATTTATAGATGGGATAACTGACAACGCCACGTTTAAAAATGGGGACTTGGATGCCAGACCCGGCATAAAAACCCACGTTTCGGTCATTCTACTTCTGGGGTACAGTACCCTATGATCCATACGGAACCTTCCGGGGGGTCCCGTGAACGCCAAGCGGGCTGCGTGTTTTCCCTAGCCCGTTTTTCCAAGGTGCCCATTCCTGGCAGCGTTTTTCCAAATTCATTCGCCCGAATACCCTCTGGTAAACATACAAAAAACTATGGAAAATCACAATTTTCAATGGGAAAACTCACTATAAATGGCCATTTTCAATAGCTATGTCAGCCATTACCAGAGGGTATATATATCCAATATCACCATGGGTAAATCCACTATTCCTATGGTTTTGACCCATCCCCGAACCCCAAGATAGGCCTTGCCTGTGCTCTGGCAGCCACGCGATAAGGTACCCTTCTACCAGCACCTGACGTTGGCTGACCTGAGCTGCTCCGATTTCTGCCAGGGATGGGTCAACAATGTGAAAAAATGGGGTACCCATCGGCCCCGAACTGGTGATTTTTAGTATGGAAAATGATTTTTATCAAAACCATCCACTTTTGGTTTGGAGTCTGGAGTGATCAGACATGACCAGCGATGACCAGAAGGGAACTGAATCATAATTCACGAATGAGGAGATCAACAGCTAGAAACAAGCCTTTTTGACGCATGTGGAGGTGTCCTAAAATGCGGATACCCTCAGGATGGTGCCCCCCAGTTATAAGTTGGTTTATAAACCCCATGAATACTATAGTTATATCTACCATAAACCATAGTTATGGGAGTTATAAACCAACTTAGCTAACTATGGGGCACCACCATGCTCAAATCATCCAAATTAGACCATTTTAGTATATATTACCCACGGTGACTTGGAAAACCGCTTAGAAACCCCCAGATAAAAATTGTAACATACGCAATATGACATACCTAGTCTTAAAATGGATTCGCAAGTGGGATACACTTTTTGCCACTGAAGTGGGAGACATATCAAGGGATTCATCCCAGTCAATAATCATTTCTCCAAACTTCAGAAATCATTGCGATGCGGTGCCAAAAGTTGCTACCTCTCCAATGGTTGGCGAAAGGTGCACAATTCTGATTCACCCTAGTGGCAAGAGCAAGGCCATGGCAAAACAAACATCCAGAGTTGGGCCCATGATACAAAACCCAGCCCCTGACACGTGTCACGTGTCATCTATCCCCCAGATGGAGATTTCTTGAAGATGGATCAATAGCTGTGGGACCATATGGGACAAATGGTTCATGCGGGGCATTGACATCCAGCAGTCTAGCATCTACAAGACATCTACAAGACATCTACAAGACATCTACAAGACATCTGGCTTCACTACAGGATGGGTGACCCATAGCCAAAATAGGAAACAGTCCCAGGTGTACTGGTCAAATGCCACAAAAAATCCACAAGTTTGTTGATGAAATGACGTCCCAATAAATCGCCATAAAGGTCACCATTTGGTGCTTATCATATTCCCATGATGTGGTTAAAAAAAATGCTATAAACCATGCCCCGGTCATCACCATGTCTATAGGTGGTATAAACATGTATAAACTTATATAAACCATTCCCAGGCATGGGTGGTTTATGGCATACTTTTAGCCACATGATGTGTTTATGAATTCACCGCTGTTTATGAAATCCATCCATCCATCCATCGGTGGACCTCCAATCCAACAGCATGGCGCAGCCAGGAATAGAGTGAGTCTGAGCCTGGCATTTCATGGTGATTGGCCATATATATAGTCCACAAAAAAAAACAAAGGATTGAAGATGATGAAACTATGACTATGATGATTACCCTCTGGTAAACTAACATAACTATGGAAAATCACCATTTTTAATGGGAAAACTCACTATAAATGACAATTTTCAATAGCTATGTTAAATTACCAGAGGGTAAAAATGATTAAAGATGATTTTAGTTTTTCAGTCTTAGTAGAAAGATGGTGATTGGCCATTGATAGTCATGATATGTCATGATTAAAGTACCCATCCAAGGTTGGGTGTGTTGTGGTGAAACTGATGACAAACTTTGGGATTTGATGCGATTTTATTGGCATTTGTTGGATGGGGTTCCAAATTTTTGAGATACCCCCCGAATTTTTGGTGTAGTAATCAACAGTTAAAACAAAAAAAACAACAACAACAACTACTACTACTACTCAGCAGCTACAGTAAGTGAACGCAAATTGGGGATGATAGACAACTCGGTGAATACCCGGCAAAAGCAAAACCCTGGCCAAGTATTGGATCTATTCACTTTGGGGACCCTTAGTGTCGGTATTTAATATGATAAGGGACTGGATTATAATGTGCATCTGAACAATACTCCGTCCTTTCCAGGTTTGCTCCTGAGTCAAGGTCTTCTTGCTCTTATAGAGGAAAATGGTGTTCTCTCCAATGCTCTGGAGGAAAATGAATGCAAATGATGAGGAAAATTGATGTTTGCCAGATTGTCACGAATGAAAGTATCACCCTTTTTGGCTATGGCATCAACCATGATTGATTTCAAATGTCTCCCAAATTGCCGGATTTGGCAGTCACAATCAGACTCAGCAAATGGATTTGGCTCCCAAAAATGGGGTTCTCAATAACAAATCTTTGCGGTTCCCAAAATGGGCGCCCGGAAACTATTCCTGGGCCCGGGATCTCTCCAGCGAAGGCCTTCTGAAGCCATTTTGCATCAAGCTCATAGCGTCATACCGAAGTCCCAGCGGACTGTGCTCTGGATTTTTTGTCGGTGCTTGGGATGTCAAAAGAAGTCATGTAGTTGGCTGGGCGCGCGCAGAAGGCCGCGTCACGAAACAGTGTTTTTGCATGTTCACTGCACTGGCGCCACAGCGAGAGCGCATTTTTTCCTTTTTTATTGTGTTTCGCCTCAGCGAAACCTCTTTTTTTGTCTTTTTTTGTTGTTTTTTTTGGCGTGGTGTTGGTTGGGGGGGTGGGGGGTGGGGGGGGGGGGGGGGATGTAATAACGTTCTTTGGACTTGAACACATCTGGGATGTTATGTCATGAGATCTTTTCTTGGAATTCAACACATCTGGGATGGTACGTCATGAGATCTTTTCTTGGAATTCAACACATCTGGGATGGTACGTCATGAGATCTTTTCTTGGAATTCAACACATCTGGGATGGTACGTCATGAGATCTTTTCTTGGAATTCAACACATCTGGGATGGTACGTCATGAGATCTTTTCTTGGAATTCAACACATCTGGGATGGTACGTCATGAGATCTTTTCCTTGGAATTCAACACATCTGGGATGGTACGTCATGAGATCTTTTCTTGGAATTCAACACATTTGGGATGGTACGTCATGAGATCTTTTCTTGGAATTCAACACATCTGGGATGGTACGTCATGAGATCTTTTCCTGGAATTCAACACATCTGGGATGGTACGTCATGAGATCTTTTCTTGGAATTCAACACATTTGGGATGGTACGTCATGAGATCTTTTCTTGGAATTCAACACATCTGGGATGGTACGTCATGAGAAACCATGCACTTTTTGGAAAGAATCCAAGCGAGGTTCTCGAGCAACTGTCTCGACTTTTTGCAGATTAAAGAAAACTTGGCGAACATGCGGTGGATGAAAATAAAAGTCATGCACTGAAGTAAACACACTTGAAAGTGTCTCAACTGAAGTAGTTTTTTTCGACGTCAAAATATGACACGCCAAGATATAAACATGGACATGTGAAGTTGCACATGCATTTCGAATGGCCAGCGTGGAGGATTTGCCATATCACCACTCATAGATTTGTATCAAAACTGACATGAAAGTGCACGAAACCATACGGCCATCTATGAGCGCCCGACCATGTAGTTCCTAGTTGAGGCTTCCTGGTATTCCTGTAAAAGCGATCAAAAAAATTGGCCTTCCTCTGCTACTTCTGTGGATCATGTTGCTGGAGATGTTGGTTCCCAAAAGCTCCGTGATGTTCATAGCTCAGGCATAAACAAGAAGCCTCTTAGCGGCGCCGCGGCTTGAGATGAAAATGAGAAAATGAAACAGCTAAGTAGTTAGTAGTGAGCGGCTCGTTAAATCCTTCTTGGAGTCACTGTTTGCAAAAGGCATGGGACAAAATTTGGATAAATTTGGTAACTCCTTCGTTGGCTTCACGACGTTGCATGATAGATTCAAGATGTGGCCGGTTCCTTTGGGTCAGGTCTTATGCGGATTGACCCATGGCCTCAACTTGCCCTGCACGTCTTTTTCCGCGACACAAGGAAACTCCAGTCTCAAACGATTCATGGGCATTTCTCGAGGCTGAGGACTCCCATATTCGCAGGTCGTGGAACTCGATGTTTTTGCCGCGTCTCATCTCGAGAAAATGCGATGATTTGGGAGTCCCAAGCCTAAGAAAGCATCCAGTTTATATCAGCCGGGCTGTCTATGAAATAGATACTTTAGTTGACATCTCCGCTCGACATCAAGATTCTTCTCGGTCCACCCGCTTGATGCTTTTCAGGAAACAGGCAGCGACGTGGGGTTTAGTTGTTGTTTTCCTCTGGGGCACCCATTTATTTCGGATGAAAAAGGGTGGATGTTTCACCATCTTCAGCTGAATTCATGTTCCCAGGTGAATTAGCTTAGCTGATTTAGCTGCCATCCTCAGCAACGCACGGTTCCACGTTGACTTCGTCTCATCCATTTCCCTTCTACCGGCCATACCTCAAGGCTGGAGAACCGCATGTCACCCTGACAGGTACGGATCAGTTTGGACCCATATCTTAAAACCAGTTGAGTGCATCATGGGGCGCCTTCCAGCCTCTGAGCTATGACCGCACACAGGCCTATGGGCCGTCCACATCTTGTCATCTGTCCTCAAAATTGGCCAACCAAAGCTCTGAGAGTTGAAACTTGAAACTGATGAAAATTCCCGAACGGATGTCCAGGCTCTCCAATTTTGAGACAGATCTCCCAAGGCCAGCTACAGTTCACCGAAGTTCAAGGAACGATTCGTACAGCCATGGCCATGTTCTCAGCGATCACATCCAAATTTGCATAGCTAAACATTCATACCCCATTCAGATTGGAAAATCACGTCTCGCCTTTTCAATTAGTTCATTCAATCCCCATGAAATGCGTCCAGCATCCGTGTGATTCACCTCCTTTTACTCCATAGAACCTCATCCCCTTGGCGAATCTTAGATACTTCCTGGTAACCTGGCAGTTGGAGTGGTGTTCCCATAGTGCCATAGCCATTTCTTGATGGTTTACCCCTTCAAGATGTGGTAAAGCCACTGCCTCAAAAATCCTCTTTTCGCTACCGGAAGCTATGTTATTTTTGCTGATTAGATCCACCATTCCATTGTTAAAATCCAATTCTTGCTGATCGACTCACCATACGTTGCTACTTTAAATCCCCAAGTTAAACCGGGAAGAACCCCCCACTGGTGAAATCGCCAAAAGTGCGCGTTGAATCCCTAAAACTGCTGGTTAAAACCCCAAAATTGTTGGCTGAAAATTGCTGGTTAAGTCACCAAAAAAACACCACTGCATGGCCCTGGTTGCTTCCGTGCCCCTCAGCCCGTCATCAACTTTTGACTCACACCTTGACAAGCCAAGTGTTTGGCCAGTGCATCGAGGTAATCAACCCCGGAACCATGGTGGATGTCGGTGATTTACATATGGTTGGCACCATTGAATCGGGCTAGTTGGGGGGATGGGAATATATATATATATTATATATATATATTATATTATATATATATTGTATATATCATATATACAGATACATATATCATATATATATATTATATATATATATGTAGTATAGATGGGTTGGAGTGGATAGGAATTGGGAGTTTGACCGGAAGCTGAGTATGACCTGGCACCCCTGAGGGGGACGGCAGTAGATCTCAACAACTGGCAGCCACACGTCTTGATCTATCTGCGATGTACTTCCGCATAGAACGTAAAGATATACTGTGTAATGTATTGTATTGTATTGTAATGCAATGTAATGTAATGTTATGTAAAGTAATGTAATGTGTTGTATGTAATGGTTTGTAATGTAATGTAATGTGATGTTTTGTAATGTATTGTAATGCAATGTAATGTAATGTAGTGTTATGTTATGTAAAGTAATGTGTTGCTGTTGTAATGTAATGTTTTGTAATGTTGTGTAATGTAATGTAATGCAATGTAATGTAATCTTTTGTAATGTAATGTTCTGTTATGTAATGTATAGTAATGTATTGTAATGTAATGTTATGTAATGTATAGTAATGTATTGTATGTAATGTTTTGTAATGTAATGTTATGTAATGTTTTGTAATGTAATGTTATGTTATGTTATGTATAGTAATGTATTGTATGTAATGTTTTGTAATGTTTTGTTATGTTATGTAACGTAACGTAAGGTTATGTTATATTATGTGGGTAGGGAGGGATGCATGCATGCATGTATGTATGTATGTTTGTTTTGTAATGTACTGTTATGTTATGTACTAATAGTAATGTATTTAGCCATTTATGTTTGTTATTATATTACCCTCTGGTTATTTAACATAGCCATGGGAAATGACCCGTTTATAGATGGTTTACCCATTTGTATTGTATGTATATTATATTTAGTATTATAGTATTAGTATTATATTTATTATTATTTATAAGCAACAGCTAGAGTTTCAGGGCTTATAAGCAACTTTCTGTCAGCTGAGCTGGGCTTCCCAGCAATCCTTCTGCAAGGTTCGCATCGCCTTGCCGGGACGTTCCGACGGTTCGTGGGCCAAGCCACATCGACGTGACGTGACGAGTTAGGGCAAAATGAACATCTTTGAACATCGAAAATGGTGGAAAATGGTGGAAAAATATGGAAACATCTTTGAAGTTAGTGTAAAATGCTGGAAAATGGAAAATATGGAAAAATATTGGAAAAACTAATTGAAACATCTGCAAAATGAACATCTAGTTAGTGTAAAATGATGGAAAATGATGGAAAAATGAATGGAAAAATGAATGGCTAAACGGAGCCAGCCAATCCTTGTAAAACTTAGTAAATTGTAACCACCAGCCTGTTTTTTAATGAGATGAATCATCTATTCGCCCTCGGATAATCATCCCATGCCCTGAAAAAACCAGTCGAGGAGCGTTCACCATAGACCTTGGCCGCGCGAGCTAAGGTCGGCTAGGCTGCCGTGAATGAGACCCAAAAAAGAACATTTTTGTACCCCCAAAAAAGATGAAACATGGAAAATATATCACTATTTTAGTGGGATTGTGCTTTTCTATCTTTTGTTGGGTGCTATAATTGGTCATCTTTGGTATTGAACGATACATGTTCGATCATTTTGGAGGGTTCATCATGTTCATTATTTTCACCCAGACCCCCAAGAGAATCTTCCTTAATGTCAACCCCGGCTGCATACACCCCACCGTGGTCGCGGGGGGTGTGCACATTGCAGGGACGCTACAGCATGTTGTTTTGCACATGGCATGCACCTAAACTGGTACCCCCAAAATTAACCGACCAGGGTTGGGGAAGAAAAAAGATAGAGCCGGTCATATACTGGCAGGTCTCTCTCATTTCTATATAATATATATATATATATGCGTGTGTGTGTGTGTCTATTCTTATCACCTGAGATAATTCCCTATGGAGCTAGCTATTCATTCCCTAGCATGTTCTATCCCCTTAGTTTGGTCGGTCAAAATCTCACT